ATATCGTCACAAATAGAACTGCCCGGTAAACCGTAGGCAGAGAGAGAGAAGAGGACAACAAACGAGGGGCTGTGACAAACTGTTTCGTCGGAGTTGTTGGTATATATATATCGTCACAAATAGAACTGCCCGGTAAACCGTAGGCCTGTCTCTTATACACATCTAGATGTGTATAAGAGACAGGGGCAGGGAGGATCTCGTTTTTTTTGGGTGGTTGTCGTTCGTTGCGTAGCTGCTGGTCTTGGTATCCTCATTGCTAGTACATACCTCTTTTGTCAGTCTTTTTTATTCTTTTGGGTGTTTGGCAGTTTGCGTTGATATGCTGTTTCCTCCATGATGATGCTGTGATGCAGTTTTTGGCTCTGGATGTATTTCTGGATAAATTTGTTATTTTGTCCCCCTCCCCTCCCCCTCCCCCTCCCCTCTTCTTGAGTTCTATATAGTTTGTTTGTCTTTTGTAAGGTGTGTGTGAGTATATGCATGTTGCTTCCCCAGAGCTCAAGCAGGGTCACCGCACTCCGAGCATACTCGGAGTAGACGTAAATTGCGTTCAGATACATGCAGGTCAGTCTGTAGGGCCAGGCAAAGACATCCAGGAGAGTCCTAGTGTGAGTAGTTTTCCCTCATACTAGGAGTTTGTCGAAAAAGCCTCCCTGTCATGTGATTGCGGTCAGATACATCCAATCCAGGTGTGAGCATGCATCCACCACTATCTTGCAGGGATAATTCATTAATGAAATAGATTCATCATTTGCTGAGCTGCATTCTTATTCGCTGAGATGCATTCTTATTTGCTGAGCTGAATCATTCTTGAGATGAGCCTAGATGCTGCTGATCCAAAACTCCTAATGTCAAAAAAAAAAGAAAACACCTTCAGTTGGCGGGTAAACGAACGCACATTACGAATACGGGCCAAGCGGAATGGTACTCTGACCCAAAAAAAAAGAAGAACGGTACTCTGACGCCCCAAAAAAAAAAGAAGTACGGTACTCTGACCCCAAAAAAAAAAAAAAGAAGTACGGTACTCTGACCCCCCCCCAAAAAAAGAAGGAAAAAAAAAAAA